CTTAAGATACCTTCTAGATACGGATTTGTAAGATACAGGAAGGGATGAATCACACTTTCCTAGGAGAGCAGGAAAGATATCGCAAAATCCTCATTCCCTCCCCACTCCCGGGGCTCTCCGAACTACTCAAAATTCCCGCCATCGGTTCTCCAGAACCTTTCAGAACCTGCTGAATTTCACCCCTGCCACGCACCCCCTTCTGCTTGGAGCAGAAGCCTCGGCTGGCCCGTCTGGAGGAAGGGGCTCCGTTCGCACAGAGCCAGCCCCAGCCCTAAAGCCCAACCAGGAGCAGCCGAGAAGCCAGAAATATTTGGGCGCCTGTCTTGGCAGCACTTGTGGGTGCCTCGCCCTCTGCTGTGCCCACAGAGCCACACTCTTAGCGGAGCAAAATGTCGGAGCCCCAGCCAGCCGGGAGACGAGACCAGGCGGGCCTCGTTTCGAAGGGAGCAGAAAACCCCTTGATTTCCTGAGAAAAGCAGCTGGAAGAAGACTGTGGAAAGAGCCCGGAGACAGAGCCCAGGCGCCCCTGATGGGGCCGGGAGGGAGGGAGAAATCTTGGTACCCTCCGCTGGTTTCTCTCCTGCCGCCCTAAAGAGCCCCCCCCCCGTTCTCTTCCTTTGCATGCAGCGACCCAAAGGGAGGGGCTTTAAACCTCCCCTGCTGGATGTACCCCAGGTAGCCAGTTTGGGCCGAGAGCAGGACAGCGGAGGGAAAGACCCTCTTCCGGAGTTTCAAGTGGGGAGGGGGGATATGCAGGTCTGCATTTTAAAAGAAGGAACTCCGCCCACCTCCCAATATAGGGATTCCAAGCTGAAGTTTCGTTCGTTCTCTCTCTCTCTCTCTCTCTCTCNTATATTGACTATATATAAAGTGTTTTTCCCACGGCACACCTTACACTATGTCACGGCACACTAGTGTGCCGCGGCACAGTGGTTGAAAAACCCTGGGTTAGGTGATGGTGGGGCAACTGGGGAGAGAATCTCTCTGTTGCCCTGTCCTTACCTTCCGGAGCTCAGGGCCCTTTGGTTCCTGGGTTCGCTTCAAGGAGGGAAGGAAGGAGTTAATATCTTTGGCTCCCCTCCTCTGCCTCCCCCCTGGCAGCCGACCCTAGTCCCACTATGAAGGGGCACCATTATTCTTTGCCACCCCCTTCCCTTGCTGAGAAGGGCCCGCCTGCTTGCAATTTGTTACAGAAATCTCTGCCAAAATGCCCCCAACACAAACTTCACTGTGTTTCCTCTCAAAAGAAGTTGGTGGACATTTTTTTCCAGCTTTAAAAATTCTGCATTTGAAGGAACATAGTTTGGAAGTCTCTGGTTTGACGTTTGTTTCAGTTTGCTGCATTTAATTCTTTAATAGGAATTTCAATTTCCTGTAAATTCTGTTTTGGTGAAAGGGTTTCTTTTTTTCCATTGTCTGTGAAGAGCAATGTAATATGTGGTGCAGACCATACATATATCCAGCATCCTTGATTCTCATGAGCAGGAACTGGCCAGGATCTGCCCCCATCCCCACCCCCACCCCAAGCACAGCAGAACCTGAAGCCTCTCAGCTCTCTGGGACCTGCAGAAAAGGGGTGGGTGGGGAGGGGGGGGTTGCGATGTGAGAAAAAAGAAAACCAGGAAAGCTGTTAGGTGGGACCAAAGCTTCCACAGGCTTCCCTGCTTAGATCAAGGATGCTGAACCTTGCTCTCTCGGGAAAGAGGGAAAGGAAATGGTGGCTCTCTTTCCTAGCGTGTGCAAAGGGACACCTGATCTCTTTGCAACAGTTAAGGACTGTTTGTTAAGTTCCACTTCCCACCCACCAGTAAATCTCTCCTAGAAGGTGTTGGACAAAGATTAGGCAATCTTCTTGTAAGCCACAACTGCTTTATTATTGTTATTGCTGTTATCGCTATTTTGCTGCAGATCTTGGAACCAGGGGTGAAATTCAGCAGGTTCTGACGAACCGGTAGCGATAATTTTGAGTAGTTCGGAGAACCGGCAAATGCCGCCTCTGGCTGGCCCCAGTGGGGAGGGAATGAGGATTTTGCAGTATCCTCCCCTTCCATGCCCACCAAGCCACGCCCACAGAACCCGTAGTAAAAAAAAATTCGCCACTGCTTGGAACCATAAAGCAGAGCCAGGAGATCTTCACCCAATAGCAGTAGCAATAGCAGTAGACTTATATACCGCTTCATAGGCCTTCAGGCCTCTCTAAGCGGTTTACAGAGAGTCAGCATATTGCCCCCAAC